AAGCCACAGGCAGGTCTAGGACATGCCTTGAATTGTCACCCTGTTTTGCCTGTCTTGGTAAATTACGTATACCATTCTCCATCACCACACGTGATGCTTTATTCTGGAGAAATAGAAGCACAAACGGGGCAGCAATCCTTCATGCTCCCCCATGGTTGCTGCCACCCTGTCTCATTGGCCCTGCAGCTCAGGATCCTAAACATCTACCGGAGAATCACTCCTTTCTTTCCCAACACACTGTTGCCACTCTCCTTTCCCCTGAATTCTTTCTTGCCTCCAACCTCAACTGGCAAAGCTCTCCTGTTCCACAAGACTGCCTGGATTATCTTCCTAACACACATACACATGCACACACCCCTAATTGTATCTCTCTACTACCCACAAGCCTTCAGTGGGTCTCCATTACCTGTGCTAGAAAATACAGTCTCTTTGAAAAGACTCAACAAGATGGTGTGTGCCTTGGACACGCCATTTCTTGCCTCATCCTTCTAAAGCCCAAGCATGAGAATTTACCTGCTAGTCCCCGAAAGCATCAGGTCCCTGGCATTGAGTGCTTGTGAAACCCCATGGGACTGGATTCCACATCCTACGCACAACACACACACTTTATTCCTCTGGCCAATGCTCCTACTTATTTCGAGAACCAGTTCAGGCATAGCACCAGGGAGCCTCTCTGACCTGCCCTTCGACCATGCAGCAATATTCCTGGGAGGGGAATTAGACTCCCATGAACATTGTTTACTTTGAGTTATCCCTGCTCCCCCCAGCCCAGCCTTCAGGAGACCAGGAACTCATTAAAATAGCTTCTCTCAAATGAGATGGGGTTCCACCAGGGGTCATTTTCAAAGTTCTGGTGGGCATCCCAAAGTAAGAATACAGCTATCAAGGGCAGGAAGAGCATCTTTCACCCCACTATACTCAGCCCTCCCCCTCCGTGCCTGGGTCATCATGGGCCCCTCAAGGAAGGTGGTAGGAATGAACAATGGAGAGGGAGGGGGGGAGGCAGGCAGTGGAGGAGGGGCAAGACGAAAGTGATGAGAAAGACTAATATTGTGAATGATTAAACACATGAGAGAGAACACTAAGATGGGGCCAAGTCTGCAACAGGATGAAATAAAGACATCAAGTTGCTATGATCTACGTTAGTTTTTCTAATTCATATGAAGGGCCTTCGTGGGCTGGAGGTGGGAGGCAGAGAAATTGGTCTCCAGTGGGTACAAAGGACCCTCACACACACCCAAGACTCACTGCCATCAAAGTGGTTCCAGCTCATGACAACCCTATAGAATAGAGTAGAGTTTTGGAGGCTGGGGAGCCCTGGTGGTGTAGTGGTTACACGGGTCGCGATCCACAGGGTCGGCAGTTCTAAATCACCAGCAGCTCCTTGGAAGACAGGCTCAGAAACCCACAGTGGGTTGCCATGCGTCAGCACTGACTCAATAACAGTGAATTGGCTTTGGCTTTGGAAAAGCTTGATGGGAGTAGACAACTTCATTGTTCTCACAAGGAGTGGCTTGTGGGTTCCAACCCTTGGCCTTGTGGTTAACAGCCCAATGTGTAGCACAAAGGCTGAACAACATCGATTGGCCAGAAATGGAAGAAGGGAGAAGAAATGACGGGCATCCTCCACTCTATAACAACAGCCGGTCGTAAGGCATCCTGGTGGCATACTGATTCTGAGTTGGGCTGAGAGCCACATGGTCAGCAGTTCAAAACCACCAGCAGCTCCAAGGGAGAACGACTCGGCTTTCTACTCCCGTAAACACTTACAGTCTC